CTGATAGAAAAGGAACACAAGAGAAACAAAAACCAGAAAGGTCAAATGGAAAACTTTAGAGCTTCCTGGGTTGGAATATATTCTCTGATCACTGTGCAATTAAATTAGAAATCAGTAACAAGGGATAACTAGAAAATCCAAATTTATGGAAATTATTAAATAATGTTGTTAACCCATAGTCAAAGAAAAAACTCATAAATGAAATTAAAATTTGTTTTCATACTGAGTGATAATAAAAACAGCATATCAAACCACCTGGAAAGCAGCTAAAGCACTGCCCACAGGGAAACCAACAGTTTCAAGTAGCATCTTAAAAAATGAATAAATATATATTTTTAAATCCTTCACTTTGTAAATCCAACCTGTTTGGCTCAAGACTTTCAAATTACGAGTGGCAACATTTTAGATAGAAAGATACTAACCTGTAAACTTATTCCAATTTGTTTCCTAAATTAAGATAGCACTTTAGATAATACTTAAGAGAAATGACATTTTGGGAAAACTACAGATTTTATACAATATTTAAATCTTGTTTTAGTAATACTATGCTCCCAGGTAGCGTGGTAAGAAAAATGTCTCGGCTATTTAGAATTAAATTACTTTATAGAGTATTAAAATTGTTTAATAGCGTTTACATCCCAATGACCTCATGAGGAATTGCCCCCATTAGTTATGAAAAAAAAATTAAAGTTATCCCTTACACCTGTTATTAAGCCTTTAGCAAACAGAATGAATTTTTAAATGTACATCCTAGGTAAATGTACTTAATATACACACATAGTTACATACATGGTTACATATATAAGTAACCATTTGTTAAGCACATACTATGTATCGGCTCATGTATTTCTAATTCTCACAATCGTCCCGGTGTACAGCTCAGGAACCTCTGAGGCTCACAAGGGCAGCCAGATTAAAAAGGACGCTCTCATGCCTTTGCTTCGGGGAGAACAGCCAATGTCTGGTGATTTGTGGGGGCGTTTTGTGGTTGTCACAAGCAGCTGGGGTATCCGGCATTTAGTGCTCGAGGCCAGGGCAACGCTGCTCATGGCAGAAGTAGTCTCCACCATGCGCCCCCCAAATGCCTACAGCACTCTGACGAGAGGGAGGGACTCCGAGCACCATCCCATCGAGTTTCCTCTTTCCTAAGCTCATTTTCAAATAACATCTTTAAAAATGCCCTCAGGGGAAGGCAGCGGGGAGGACCCCGCCTTCTGTCCCAGCGCAGAGACCCGGCCGGTCCCGCGGGGCGCACAGGCGCAGGAACGCAGAGCCGGGATGGGGTTCACAAATCCCCCCGCACCCAGGGTCCACTCCCAGCCATGGCTGCCCCGGCCCCGCGCTCGCCATGTCCCCCGCGCGCTCCCTGACGCACGGGCGCGGGAGCCCGTAGACACTCCACCGCTCCGGGGCGCCCAGCCGAGTCAGGTGCGGACGCGGATGGCGCCAGGTCTGACCCGGAGCGGACAGAGGCCGGGACCGCCCCGCACGCGCGCTCACCTCTGCCCGCGGCGCCGGCTCCGGGCGCACTTCCGGGAGCTGGGCGGCTGCGCGCGCCTCCGGCGACCGGCGAGCGACGTGCGACACTGGGCGGAGCTAGGGGCGAGGGCGGGGCTGAATCCGAGGCTCCTATTGGCCGTCGGGGACGCCCCGCCCCTCTCGGCCGCCGCGGCAGTGCAGGTCCCGCGCCAACGTCACGCTCCGTTCCTTCCGTCACTCACTCACTACTCACTCACTCTGTTCCTGAGTTCCTTCATTACTCGCCGTCATTTACTGCGCGCCTATTCCGTGCCAGGCACTCGGCCAAGCACTGCGAGGCCTTCAAAGGTCATTTGTCTCTCCCGAACCCTTCCGCCCAGTCCCACACCCAAAGCTGCAACGCTCTGCCAGGATCCCTGCTTCTCAACCGGCGCCTTTCTCCACCTTTCCGTTCTTGCCTCACTTGACCTCCCAGAGGCATTTGATTTGCCCCAAGCTTCTTCCTCTGTCTTCATTCTCCCACTCTCACCAGCTCTGCAGCCCCTGGGTCCTCTCCCACTTCTCCCCATTCCGTTAGGGCTAGTCTAATGTGGTCTCATCCTCTTTCCACCTGCGCCTCTCTCCCTGCCTCTTTCTCTCCCTCTCAACAAATGTCATCCTTGACTCTTCTTCCCTTTCCCACACACCAACAATGGCCGAATCCTCTGATTTTACCTCATTGTTTCACCCTCTCTCCCTTCTCTCTACCCCTCCCTCGGCTTAGCTCCACACCTTTCTTAAGTAAGAAGGGTAAGGCCTTCTTACCCTTTCCTGAGCATCCAGTCTTGCTGGACCGCATCCTGTCCTGGGCCGCATCAGCCATCTCGTGATATTAAATTGCATTAATAGAAGTATGATGTCAAAGTTCGGGCGTTCCATCTTGGGCAACTGGCAAAGAGGAGAGTATTCGAAAAGAAAGAGCTGTTAAGTTCCCCTATAACCTACGGAAATAATATAAATAATAAAAATTTTAAAAAGAGCTGTCAGTATGGTGATGTGTCCTGTCCCTGTCCCATGTTTAGAGGAATTGAAGACATCTCCTCTGGAGAAATAAAGCTTGATGCGAGGAAGGGATTACATCCTCATGTACCTGAAAAACTGACCAGTGGAAAAGGGATTTGACATGTTCTCTTAAGTCCCAGGGGCTGAACAAGATCCCATGTGTGAAACTACTGTTTCAGTCTGACCTAGTGGAAGTTTCTAATCTTTTTTTTTTCTTTCTTTCTTTTTTTTGAGACGGAGTTTCGCTCTTGTCACCCAGGCTGGAGTGCAGTGGCCCAATCTGGGCTGACTGCAACCTCTGCCTCCCAGGTTCAAGTGATTCTCCTGCCTCAGCCTCCCAAGTGGCTGAGATTACAGGATCTGCCACCATCCCCTAATTTTTTGTATTTTTAGTAGAGACAGGGTTTCTACTAAACCCAGGCTGGCCTTGAACTCCTGACCTGCACCGTGGCCTCCCAAAGTGCTGGAATTACAGGTGTGAGCCATCACACCCCGCTGGAAGTTTCTAATATTCATGTGATTGATGGTGGTGCTTTGAGTTCCTGAGGACAACGTGGCTAACAATTTACCAGGCACATTTAGAGGGACACCTTCGTTGGGTGTTGCCTCCAACATCAATGTGCTTTGCTTCTAAGAAAGTCAAGAGATAAGGTGGTTTGGAGGGGAAGATTATATGAGTTTTAGCTTCAATGTGTTTGCTTTTAGCTGATCAACATCCACAGAAGATAACAATAATTCAAAACCATTAATTGGGTTTTCACTCCTTTGTGAATCTGATGGAAGCCAAAACTTTTCCCAAGGAAAATGCACATACACATCTACATACAACACTTTGCACTCAAATTCAGGGAGCTAACACAGTCCCGAAAGCCATCCTTGGAACCCACAAACCTCAGGTGGAGAACTCTAATCCTGGTACGTGGTTCCGATATGCAAATGACACTTTGAAGTTTAATAATTTCTTTATAAACTGGCACCTTAGGAAAAGACATAAACACTTCTTTTGGAACAGGCTGAACAACCAAAAGATTTTTTAAAATAGGGAGATACCTACCTCAGCTTAGGAAATAATTCAAAGGTGTCATCTAGTTCTATTATTCACTCACTCATTCAATAAATATTTACCAGATGATGTGCCCAGCACGCTTCCAATAGCTATGTTAGCAAGAATGAACTAAACACACAAAGTCCCAGCCCTCCCAGGACTTATATTTTGTAGGATGAGCCGGGCAATAAATAAATACACAAGTGGTAAACACAGGTGTTGTGAAGAAACTTACACTGGGGCAAAGAGGAGAGGAGAGAGATGGAGGGCAAGTTATATGGGAAGGTCAGGGAAGGACTAACAGACAAAACAGCCCTGAACCCAGACCTGAAGTTAAAAAGCAAGTCTTGCGAATATCTGTGGGAACCTCCAGGGAGAGGAAATTGCAAAAGTTGTTTTCGTTGTTGTTTGAGACAGAATCTTGCTCTGTCGCCCAAGGCAGTGCCAGAATCTCAGTTTACTGCAACCTTGCCCCCCAGGTTTAAGTGATTCTTCTGTCTAAGCCTCTCGAGTAGCTGAAATTACAAGTACATGCCACCGTGTCCGGCTACTTTTTATGCTTTTAGTAGAGATGAGGTTTCACCATGTTGGCCAGGCTGGTCTTAAATTCCTGACCTCAGGTGATTGGCCTGCCTTGGCCTCGAAGTGCTGGGATTATAGATGTGAGCCACTGTGTCCACCCCATCAATGTTTAAACCCTGAGACAATGAGTGACAATAAAACGGAGAGATATAAAGACTGAGCCCTGGACCACACCAACATATAGGGTCAGGGAAATAAGAAAAATCTATCAAAGGAGAAAGAGATTGAGGAACTACTGAGGTAGAAGAAAAATGGAGAGTGCTATCCGGGAAGCCAAGGGCATAAAGTGTTCAAAGAAAGAGAGAATCATCAGCCAGGCGCAGCGGCTCATGCCTGCAGTCCCAGGACTTTGGGAGGCCGAGGTGGACAGACCACAAGGCCAGGAGTTCAAGACCAGCCTGGCCAAGATAGTGAAACTCCATCTCTACTAAAAATACAAAAATTACCTGAGGGAGCGGGGTGGTAGGCTTCTGTAATCCCAACTACTTGGGAGACTGAGCAGAGAACGGCTTGAACCTGGGAAGCGGAGGTTGCAGTGAGCTTAGATCGCACCACTGTACTCCAGCCTGGGCAACAGAGTAAGACTCAATCTCACAAAAAAAAAAAAAAAGAGGGAATTATCGACTAATCGAATGCCATGATCAAATGTAAGATGAGGATTAAGCATTGACTATTTGTTTTAACAACAGGAGAGTAAAATCAATGGTAACCTTGACTAAGAGTGATTGGGAGTATAGAAAGCCTGAATGGAACAAGGTCAATAAGGAACGGGAAGAGACGAATGAGAACAGCAAATAGAGATCAGTCATTCAAGGAGTTTTGCTATAAAAAGAAATAGCAAAACGAGACAAACTAGGAGATCTTACGGCATGCTTACACGCTGATTAGAATGATCCAGCAGGGAGGAAAAATGTATATGGAAGGGGCGAAAAGTGGCAATTACTGAAAAATGTTCTTGAGTAGAGGAGAGATTGATTTTTGAATAACAAGGCTCCTGGGTACTCACATTATCTAGGCTACATGGAATACCCACAGAAAACAATCTCCACTTAAGAGGAGCATAAAGTCAAAAGTTAAAGCCACACCAAAAACTGTTCCTCATACAGAGAAAATGGGGAATGGAGAGGTGTTGATCAAAGGGTACAAAAGGTCCAGTTAGATCAGAGGAAGAAGTTTTAGCATATTGCAGTGTGGTAACTGTAGTTAATAACAATGTAGCCGGGCATGAGGGCTGATGCCTGTAATCCCAGCACTTTGGGAGGTCGAGGCAGGCAGATCATGAGGTCAAGAGATCAAGATCATCCTGGCCAACATGGTAAAACCCAGTCTCTACTAAAAACATACAAAAATTAGTTGGGTGTGGTGGTGCGCACCTGTAGTCCCAGCTACGCGTTAGGCCGAGGCAAGAGACTCACTTGAACCCGGGAATAGGAGATTGCCGTGAGCTGAGATCATGCCACTGCACTCCAGCCTGACAACAGAGCAAGACTCCACCTCAAAAATAATAATAATAATAATAATGTATATTTCAAAATCACTAAAAGAATAGCTTTTAAATGTTCTCACCACAAAAAATAAGTAGGTGACGTGATGAATATGTTAATTAACTTGATTTAAACTTTTACAATGGATACCTATAACATCACATTGTACCTCATAAATATATACAATTATTATTCATCAATTAAAAATAAAAATAAATTTTAAAAACTCTATTATAAATGACAATCACTAGTTACCAAAAAAATGAAAGCACTTGCACTCCCAAATTCAGAGATAATAGAGCAGTCTGAAAGATATTTTAAAATAAAAATTCTGAGTTGTCCAAAGAGGTTTTAAAAAAAAAAAAGTAAAAGCCATAGACCAAAAGAACGTTGTGTGGGGAAAAAGAAAGAAAGAAAGAAAAGATGAAAGGTGGGAGAGAGAAAACAAAATAAAACTGCAGGATCAAGTCTTTTTCTTACAAACTAAAAGATAGTCACTTTTTCAATTAGGAAAAAAAATAGTCTAACACCCATGGGAATCAGACATGGCGAATATCTTTGTTCCCATTGTGAGATAAGAAAGAGATCCAGAGTGTGTAAGTACCTAACTCAGAGTTCAAGATGTGAAACCCTGCCTCTACTAAAAATACAAAAATTAGCTGGGCGCAGTGGCATGCACCTGTAATCCCAGCTACTCGGAAGGCTGAAGCAGGAGAATCACTTGAGCCCAGGAGGCGGAGGTTGCAGTGAGCCGAGATTGTGCCACTGCACTGCAGCCTGGAAAACAGAGGGAGACTCCATCTCAAAAAAACAAATATATATTTATATGTATATCTCCTGATGCATCTCTCACCAAACAAATT